GGTAGAACCAAGAGACACTGTGTGGAAAGGCCACAGACACCGGTGACTGAGTAGAAAAGTTCCTCAGCAGAAATGAACTAAAAGAGTAACAAAATATTATTATTATTATTATTATTATTATTATTATCATATGGAGGATGTGCTGACCTTGAACTAGGATCAAGTAATAACATACCTGCCTCAGCCTCCTGAGCAGCTGGAACCCCAGGTAAGGCTCCATGCCTGGCTAGGGAATCTTCACTTATGTCACTTTTACCTTTGTTTTATATATATATATATAAAACAAAGAATTGCTTTAAAATAAATTTCTTTGTGATTTGCTGTCAGTGTGTAGTTTGTATGCCCATTCTATATACCTGTTTGCCCAGGGTCACATAAAAATGTCTTGGGTAAAAAAGGATCATAGTGGAAGAAGATTAAGAAGCCTTGTGTTAAGTGATAAGACGGGAATGTGCCTTGCTTTGAGTGTTTCTTCCTTAGCGTTATTTAAAACGATAGTGCACTTTGTCACCAGTGTCTGAGGTCTGGATGTAGTAATGTGAGCACAGGGTTTTTTCCTAGAAATTTTCTCAGTGTGATCCTAACAACCACCATGACAATATTACTATCTCTGATCCACACATGATGAAACTAAGACTTAAAAGAGTTAACATCAGCTAAGGGGCTGGGGAGGTGGCTCCAACATGAGTCAGAATGCTTGCTGCAAATGCACAGGACCTGAGTTCAAGTCCCCAGCACTCACATAAAAAGCTGGGCATGGGAACTCAGCAATTAGGAGCATTTTCAACACTCAGAGGACCTGTGTTCGGGTCCCAGCACCCACACGGTGACTCCCAACCATCAATAACTTCAAGTCCCTCCCTTCCTCTCTTCCCTTCCTCTCTTCCCTTCCTCTCTTGGTTCCTTTCTTCTTTCCTTCTCTCTATTCCTCTCCTCCTCCCTCTCAGCTCCTTTTTCTTTATTATGTTATCATTGTTGCTTGTTTAGGGTGGTAAAGTGTTTGGGTTTGTATAAAATCATAGTAGACATAGAGTTAATAGTTGTTTCTCTGAAATTTCAAATACATTAGAACCAAAACCTTTTGGCCATCTATAATTAACTTTTTACAGCAGGCACAGTCTGGATGATGAATTCATCCATTTGATCACTACCATATGCTCCCTTACAGAACGAAATGTTAATCCCAGCCCTCAAGAGACAGAAGCAGGATGATCACAAACTCAAGACCAGCCTAGGCTACAAGAAACCCTGCTTCAAAAGAGATAAAGCATAAGGGCTGCAGAGCCGGCTCCAGTGATCTACAGGATCTGCTGATGGGTAGAATGGAAGGTGGGAGCTAAGATCAAATTCCAGGGTGACTCAGCGAACAGAAATAACAGAGTTGTCATTACTCAAAGCTGGAAATAGTGCAAGTGTACCAGAGCTGCTGTCCAGGACGCTGTGGGGAGCCAGATCAACCCAAGACTTTCTCACAGGCCTGGAGAAAAGGACAAAGGGAAATTTAGTTCTGTGTCCCTGTCCAGGAACAGACTTGGCAAGGGTGATCTGAGGTTGGAGCCAGTGCCTTGGAGCTGTCAAGGTTG